CCTCCGCCTTGCTGTCGTAATCTGGGAAAGCACGCTAAGAATGTTGGATGCGATCACTGTGCCTGCATCCCACCATTCCCCAGTGAACTGGAAAAGATGTTGTGAGTCTGGCCATTTATTCCAGAAGGAGTGCAGCCGTTTCGCCACTCTAAGGTCCCTTCACAGATTCGTGTCCCGCCGAGAGTTCCCTTTGCCGTGACCAGTGCACTCCCCTATTCCAAAGGAAACCAGAAGAGGACTCTATGATCTGACAAGGGGCCTTCAGCTAGTTTAATTTCCACTACCGTCTTCACCCGAATAGAACGCCCGGTCATTATGGTTGTCCATCTAGACTGAAAGTTGCCCCAAATACGGCTATAATGACCGGGCGTTCTATTCGGGTGAAGACGGTACGGTCTGGCCATGGCAATAAAGTAATAATCTGGTCGCCTATGAACCCCCGCTGAAGGGCCTGTTGAAGCAGCTATTGAGTACCAGGCATGGTCAGAGGCTCTAATGGGAACATTACGCGGTAAACATCGCCGAGCTCCAGTTTCAGCACATACTCCAGTAGAGTCGCAGTATCTGCTGTGGGAGTTGTGCAAAGACAGCTCTCATCCAGTTTGCGGTTCCTGTCACCATCGATAAGTAGCAGATAAGCACCACATTATCAACACCCCGTGCGTGCAACATGGGTTCTCCGAAAAATTGTGCAACACGAGTTCTTTGAAAAATGAATTAGTTCTTTGAAAAATGAATTATTTCCGTCCTATCCGCTGGCGCATAAACAGTCAAGACAACCCAAATAGAGTCATGCCTTTCCATTTCTACCCAAGCCCATCTACCCCACAAATCAGTGTCGTCGTCAATGATGGTGCGTGGTCTGCAATTGACAGCGAACGAGGAAGGATACAAACACTTCCTCGTGTTCAAGAGCAGGAATCAAGTAATCAAGTTGGATTGAAAACACAGCCTCTGGTCCATCCATTTTCGAGAGCACTTATCAAGTTGATCTTTTTACTTTTATAGGGAGGCCGTTGGCCACATCACTGAAGACGACTACGATTCCTGCTCCTTTAGCCAATGGAGCTTGATGTGATCAAAATCCTAATCGACCTCAAACCACCAGTAAATGCCTCACACATCGGCCGCACGACGGTGTCAGAGGAGGCTGCAAAGCGCCGCCGGCCGCCCATTTGCCTCACACGTCAGCCGCAGGACGTTGTCAGACGAGGCTGCAAAGCAACGCTGGCCGCCGATTTCTTTCATTGCCGGCGCGCCGGCACCGACTTCTTCAGATAGACGAGAAGTTTCTTTTCAGAAAAAGACCGGGGCAGTGGACTCGCAGTCAGGGACATTTCCTTCCTGTGGAGATCTCCACGTTCTCGCAGGGAAAGTTGTAAGGGACGTTTCCTTCCTCAAAGCACTGAGCCAATAGCTCCCTCACTCTAGGCTCAGAGATTTCTTAAAGCCTATGGGCCTGGCGGAGGCAATCTTGCGCCGTCTCCTTTGAGGCTCGCTCCTCCATATCCATCCCTGCCTGCTTAATTTCTGCCATCGTCGGTTAAAAAATAACAAAAAAGTTGAAAAGAGGATGAATGCTGCAAAAGTAAACTTAAAAAGCAACAAAGCAATTGGGTGGAGAACCCTCAGGCAGAAATGATCAGACCATCAGAATAGCTGCTGCTAACATATAAGCTTTTCCAGTACACAGAATGGCTCATCCTTTCTGTTCAATTTTGAAAAACATAAAAGGGCCTGCCTTCCACCCATCACTCACTGTAATTGCGCAGCGCAGCTCATTAGAATGCTCCGCCTCCTCACACGAAAAAGGGGAAACGTAGGCCCGTGCTGCTTAGCACTCTGAACTTCGTATCCTCACCTTCCAATGTCTGACAGAGCAATTACTGAAGGCATATACTCCCACTACGACTTTCCTGGGCGTATCCGACCCGAATTCTGTCATCACCTGTATGCATCTGACCGCAATTGTGACCACAGCGTAGTCCCGAAAATCCGGGATGCTCTTACTCAATTAAACTCGAATGTCCGTCCGGCAAGAACATTGTTCGTGAACAGGGAGATAGAAAAGAAGACTATTCCTAAAAATAAAATAAAAAAAAGAAGACTATTCGTGAATGGTCAGCAATTACTTATTGAAAGGCTTACAGATTCATGGTTACATTGACAATGGTGATCAGTGAATATCCGAAGACAATAGATTTACGTCGCTTAATTACTCTTTATGGCTGTGATGATGATGATCATCATCATGACGACGAAGTTAACGACGATGAGTTATGGACAAATACAAAGTACATTATGGTGGTGATGATGACGATGATCATGATGACGACGATGCCGACGACGATGAGTTATGGCCAAGTATCAAGTTTCATCAGGTTATCGGTCCAGAATCCTTGCGCTCTATAGAGTTGAGGGTGAGGGGATCCCACGGGGAGAGGAAGAGAGACCGATAAACAGAAAGAGACCGATAGACAGAAAGAACCGCCAGGGGCAAAGGAAGACAACAGAAGTGGCAACAGCAAGGCATCCTGTAGAGGCTCCATATCCCTGATGGAGAGCATACATAAAGAATGGACTTGAAATTTCATCGTTGAATTCACTGGTCCCTTCCAGGTAAATATAAAAGAAATGAATTATTTATTTCTGTTCATCTGCCTGCATCTGGATTCGAACTTGGGTCCGTCTTTCAACAAATAGTTCATGGGTGTAGCAACTGAGCTATAGGCGCGTTTGGTCTTTTTATCTAAAGCTTTTCTAAGCAAACCAAACAAACAAATATAAGCCAAGGAAAAAGGAGAAGAGAAATTCAAAAAAAAAAAAAAAAGAGAGAAACTCGATGCGCAGCTTCGAAGAAAAGAACAAATTAAGAAAAGGCAGCGACTGGAGAAAGAAAACGAATTTTCTGTTTTCTTTTGTGTCTCTTCCTCAAATCGAGCCTAGTTTGCACCTGTTCTCCACGGCTGCACTTCGAATAAACACGTCTTGTCCCGGCCTTGGCTGAATGGTACACACACAAGCAATTGATGAGAAAAAGATTGAAAAAGATTGAAAATCCATCACAGTTAAAATCCTGCTGGATACAATACTCTTAGGGGTTAATCCCCCTTCCAACAAAAAAAGAATTGAGAAGTAACTTCAGACCCTCAAAATCGACTTCAACACTTCACGCTCATCATCATAGAATATACCAAGTGTAAATCATCGAATTCAAATTCGAACGACCAAAAGGAGATTTCGAAATCCGACTCACATATAGGCACTGTGACAAGCTCCAACTACCATAACTGGGCCGCGTGAAAAGCGGCCTCTCCCTCTCTCTCTCTCTCTCTCTCTCTCTCTCTCTCTCTCTCTCTCTCTCTCTCTCTCTCTCACACACACACACACACACACACACACACACACAAACCAATGCTAAATTGAAAACGCCCACCTTCGAACACACGCGCTGCTCAATGTTTTGGTAATGAATAATTCTACCGCTCGATAAAGCTCGGTCCCTAGTCCTCCAAGAGCTCTACCCACTGATAACTAATGGAGCAATCAAACAACCGCGCCCATCACAACCCTATTTTGCCGGAATACCAGGCCAGTTTAGGGGGAAAGAAGTCCAAGGAAAGTACGGACGCAGTTAAGGCAACCTTACGAATAGGCGGACGGACCAACAAATCAATCACTCACTCACTCGTTCAATCAATCAATCAAGCAAGCAATCACGCAATCAATCAAACTGCCACCTGCAGTGGTTCACGATGATATCCCCACCCGCCTTGGGCAATTCATTCGGAGAGTACAACGGCCGTCCACGTGGCTTAACACATTGACGCGGCGTATTGCAGCAGAACAACGGACCCGTGGTAATGCAAGAGAAAAGGTTCGTTTCGACAAAAATAAACTTTGGCTCGCCGCTGCTAGTTTTCCTCCCAGTGCATCCTACGCAGGCAACAGCGCGGACAAGCTTCGCAAAGCACGCCGAGAGACTGAAGAAAGAGGGGCAAGATGAGAGGAAGAAGAGGATGGGGGAGGCGAAAAGGAAGGGGAATGAGGAACAAATGACAGACAAGGGTGAATGGAGCCAATGAACAGCTGCGAGAAGTCGCAGCTGACGATTCAGGAACACAAGGAGATGGAACGATAACGAGGAACAAGAGACCACAAGCCAGAGGAAGAATGTCCCTTGAGGCATCATTGACCCAAGGGGGAGGCCGCGGGAAAGAAGAGACCGTACATACGTAAAATAACGGATCGTGCGACAACAGAGCCGTAACAACTTCATTGAAATTGCGTCCACATCGACCAGATAGGTCACGAAAACCAAAGGAACGGAAAGGGTACGTGTTCCCCCGAATGTATGTGCGTGCGTGTATGGGAGCGCGCGTCATGTATATGCCCCTCCCCACACTCCGTGCGTGCATGTGTGTGTGTTTGTGCTTCCCACGCGAACACACACACTGTGTATTTGTGTTTCCTAAGCGCGCGGGGGCACACACACACACACACACACACACACACAACACACACACACACACACAACACAAACACACACACACAACACACACACACACACAACACACATACACACAACACACACACACACACACAACACACATACACACACACACACAGAGGGGCAGCTACGGGCAAAAGTACAAGAAAAAACAACGACCCGCAGCCCGCAGCACGCGTCAAGTGAAGCTCCAGAGAAATCCCAACCCTTATTAGCGGAACGCGCGGACGCTGTGACGGCATAACCCGACTCCCCGCGTCGTCATCACCGGATGGTACTACTGTCTTTTGTCTCCTATTTTCTGTCCTTTCATCTTACCCGCCGTCGACATCGCCGCTTACTTTCTTCTACCTTCTATTCTCCCCCTGAGCCTCCCTCTCCCCCCCCCCCCAAAAACCTCAACCCCCCAAACATCGTAACCTGCCAACCCTCGTTCCTACCCGTCCCTTTCCCGACCACCCCTCCGCCTCCCCTCTCCGTTTGGTCTTAACAACCAATAGACAATTCATTTCAAGAATGATTAGTCAGTCCGTTGCTCGCTCCCCCTCCTCTTCATCGCACTCCACTCACCTGAAGTCGTCATCAACAGAGTCGAGCACACGCCTTGCGTGTCAAAGTGAACGCAAAGAGGGTTAAGAGGGTAGCTCTTTCGGGAGAATCACCCAGATGGTCTGTTTGTCGGCAATTTTCTCACTACTTCCAAGGCCATGATTATCGCTGCGCCCGTATGATACCGGGAGCAGGAGAAAAAGAAGGGCGGCGAAAAAGACATTCCCATGCTGGCGACATCCACTGCGTGGTCATCATTTTAAGTATTGCCGTTTTCCATCCTGCCATCGCTGAGCTGTGTGCTCTGCCCTCTAAGACAGACAGAAAAAGCGAAAACACTCCCAAGGTGGACCAGCAGATGTTCGGGCCGCGTCTGTCACTCGGACGGAGTACCTCCTCAGAGCCGAATGCTTAGAACGGAACCCTAAATTCGCACACTCTCGGCGACACACACTCCTCTCCCTTCTTTATCATCATCACCCATCCATCCATCCATCCATCCATCCATTCGCAATCATCGTCTTCGATGCAAAATTCTCTCCCCGTACATTGCCCACAGAGCGAAGTGCAAAAAACTTCAATCAACTGGAAAGACAAACAAAGTAGTACCTACTGACCGTCCTACGTAATTTACCATCCCTCGTAACGCGTAAAACAGGCCAAAAGAAGCAACAACGACGTAAAGCGGAGTGCGCAACCGACGATTGAAAACCGCGGACGCGGAGAGGGGGGGGACAAGCATGCGCGCACACGTGACAGACACACAGAGAGAGACAGAGAGAAAGAGAAACAGAGAGAGAGAGAAAGAGAAACAGAGAGAGAGAGAGAGATGTGGTCTCCAAGCGTGCAGCTTGTATTCGTGATCCTTACATTGACATCCCGAAGAGCAAGTTGTATGCCTTGTGTATATGAACGACAAGGTCATCAACCAGCCCCACAACGATTTCATGCCGCCAGTTAACGAGACACGTAGTTAACACTTGGCTGCAAGTGTTCTCAGGACGGTGTATTGCGCGAGGCAACTCAAGGTCTACGTCTACTCAAACAAATACAAAGACTCGATCCTAGGTTACGTCAAATAACACTGCAGAAAGTAGCCGTGTCAGTATGCCCCCCACGACTTTTTCCAGTCCATATCGTTGCACTACTGACTGGCCCGCCTGTGGACCGCCTGTGGTCGTTGTGGCAGACATCCCCAGGAACGACGTACGATGACGCAGAATAGCGAGAGCGTGTCGAGCCGCAGCACGTGGCTCCAATCAATGAAACACCTAATGATGAGGGGAAATTCCGTCAAATGGGAGACAAAGACGGCGAGATGCACCCGCAAGAAGCGGTCTCTCTTTATTTACGGACATGATGTCTCACTTGGAAGTTACTGTATGACCGAAACCGAAACCGGGATAACGATCAATCGAGCGAGGAAGACGAAAACGAATGCAGCTCTCATTTCAAAGCTCACCGTTAACAAGATGGCCTCTCACAATAATTAATTGAATAAATGATGAAACACATGCGCTAGCGAGAGAGAGAGAGAGAGAGAGAGAGAGAGAGGGAGGATGAAAGAGAGAGAGAGAGAGAGAGAGAGGGAGAGAGAGAAAATGGACAGCGAATGGATGATGAGTTTTGACAGCTCCTACCAGCACAGAGCAGGTCCGATCAGTCGAATGACGACATCAAATCGCGCGTCGGCGGCGGCTGATGTGAAACTTCTTTCTATATTATTTGACGTTAAAGGTTCCTAGTAGTATCCGCGATCGATGAGAATTACGCATCCCTCCCCYCCCCCCCCGCYCCCCCCCCCCCCCCCCCYCCCGTGGCTGGTGATGCTGTGTTATTGCTGCTGCTCCTTCAATCGCTGAAACTCCGCCCTCGCCTGAACAAGCTCAGCCTCTGCCTCTGGATCATCCTGATACTTGCACCCCGGCTCTGCCAGCTTCTCTTTCATATCGAGCGTCCGCACAGAGTCCAAGCCGCGCATGTGTCTTTTCCTCTGTAACTCGATGACAGGCAATTTCTGACTGATCTCTTCCCAGATCATGTTGACAGCGCCACGTGGCTCCACCCATGAGTGTCCGTACACGAAGTGCGGCAGTAGCTGCGCAATGCGTCGTCTCATGGTCAGCCGCTGCTCGTCGCCGATCCCCCTGAGCAGCTTTACCAGGAACCCTGGCTTGATGGCGTCGCTCTCCTTCACCATGATTACGATCTCCGACCAATTCAACCCCCTCTCGAATGGGTACTCCATGTGATCGGACACGACGACCGGGATGCAGAGGCTCTGCAGCGCGTCGAACAGCCTGGCGGACGTGGGCGAGTCGCCCGCCGGAGACAGGCAAAACTCCGACGCCCTCATCCGCATCCCGGAGATCTCGAGCGCCTGCTTCGGTGTGAAGTAGTCGTTCCATTGCGTATTGACCCAGAGGACATCCGGCTCATCCTTCAGCAGCTTCCACATCTTGAACCGCACAATGCCGGCATTATGCCGGAGGACTTCGCCGCAGAAGTACAGCAAAGCGTGCGAAAGCGGAGGTACAAAAGCTGCAGTCCCTTGTACACCAGGCGCATTCGCGCCGACGCCGCCGCCAAGGCCGACGGAAGCGTTAAGGAACCGCGAGGAGGAGACGAGGCTCATCCGGCGGCGGCTCGTCGTGCTTTCCAACGCCTGCTCGATCTCTTCTTTCGTCATACTCGGCACCACATGCTGATAAGGTATAACGACATCTTTGGCCATGGACACCTCGTCGGCACAGTAATAACCGAAATCGACAGAAAGGAAGATACCCTGGCGGAGACGTCGTCGCACAGCCGCCAATGCCAACGGATGAGAAGCAACGTACACGTGGTCGTAGCCGCCGGATCTCTTAAAGGCTGGCTGTTCTACGAGCCACTGATAAAGTTGTTCCTGCCTGTCTTCGTCCCTCACGTTCCTGCAAACGAATCGGTGCATGTTCAGCGCGTCTGCTCTGCAGTGCTCGAAAGACTGCGACCCTAAGAAGGGAACCAAGACCACATCCGCTTCCTCTGGCGTTTCCACCCTCACAGCTCTAGACTCCGACGACGCCTCCACCCTTCTCGTCAGATCTGTAATGATCCAGAACTCCGCTGCGTGCATGTACAACCGATTACTGAATCGACGGTTATACATCTCTAATGTCAGCGCCATGTTCACATTTCTTGGCAGCGAATACACGTACACCTTTAGCTGTTCTCGACCGCCGCCGACTCGTTTTCCAGACCCAGACAACACCGAAGAAGAAGAGTTGACAGTAGTTTGGGGGTGGTACGCTACAGGGGCGTCACGCTGATCTCTGCTCAAATCGGTGGTGGCACCTTCTTGCAGCTGAGAACTGGAATCCTTGCGGACACGATCACCGCCGGCGCCTTGACGACCTTCCTTGGCTTGAGCATCTGCTCTTCTTCTTACAACTTCGTCACAATTGCACTCGCACTTCCGATACGACCTCCGCTCGACGGGATCGGCTGCAAAATCCGTATTCGACGGGAAACGGGAGATGTCGCCATGAACCCTCCTCCTGCACTCCTCGAGTGTGCAGTGCCCGTGGATAGAGGAGTAGGACGAGAACGTGAGCAGAACGATACCCAGAACGGAGAGAAGGGTCACCGCAGTGACCCATCGTGTACCGCCCAGTTTGAGCGTCATCGCGCCTAAGCGTACGATCTCTGAATTACCTCGTGATAGAGATAGTCTCTCATCGGCCGTAATCTTCTCGAGCGTCATTCACGACACTCCGTCGGCCGCGATGTTACGACTCCGCACTCACCGCGCACGGCAGGGCCCCTGAACCTGCGCCGGCAAGCCGCCGATGCCACCGCAAAACCCGCGCACAAGAACCAGGGTCCTCGTTCTCGTCATGTCCCACCTCCTCCCAACACACCACCTCCTCCCAACACCTTCCACCACCACCTATTCCATGTAGAAGTACCCACACGCAATTCCCCCTACTACCCACCTCTTCTTCTCTTCCACAGAACCCCTAAAACGTGCAAGTAGTCTTATCTCGACAAATGGAGAAAAAGAAGACCGCAACTCCCACTCCATCTCCTTACCTTCCACCCACCATGCTAACTAATTGAGACACACAGCCGGGCCAGATTCCTACCACAGGCGGAGGAAGCAGCGCTATATCGGAAAAGCCTATTAATCAATGTCGCACGAGCACACAACGGAGGGATGCCCTCGCCTGCTGTCGTTACCTGCTACTGGTTAATAGCGATGGACCCGAGAGCCGGCGGTGCTGTCACTGCCGAACACGTCAACGGGATTAACCTTCGACCGCCGCCACCGCCGCCGTCGACGCCAGAAGACATGGAACGTCATAACGACGGAAACCAACTCCTTCCGGGACACTCCATTCTCTCGATCCCAGCGATAGACGGTCCGGAAAACGAAGCAAAACTGTGAAGATGTAAATTTGCACAGCGTTCGCCGATTCAATAACACCTGAGTACGCAATGTACCTTACGCCGGAGTCACCTCTCTCTCTCTCTCTCTCTCTCTCTCTCTCTCTCTCAAACGTCGTACGCGCCACGCGGACGACCTTTATAGTTTCCGCACTAGGAAATCTCTTTAAAATCGTCGCCAATGCAGCACCTCCAGCGATCTCGGAAGCTCTCGATCAGCTAGCCCTAGATTCTGCCACTCTGCCAGCATCAACGGTCACACTTCTCTCATTGCATCTCGTCTTCTCGCAATCTTTGCCACGCGTGTTCCAATATTGTTCTCTGGCTTCTTCCCCTCCTCCTCCTCTTCCTACCACTTCGTCGCTCATCTTCTTCCTCGTCCCTTCGTACGGATCCTCCTCTTCCTACCACTTCGTCGCTCATCTTCTTCCTCNATCCTCCTCTTCCTACCACTTCGTCGCTCATCTTCTTCCTCGTCCCTTCGTACGGATCCTCCTCTTCCTACCACTTCGTCGCTCATCTTCTTCCTTGTCCCTTCGTACGGATCACGAACGAAGTCGACAGCAGCACCGGCCACGAACGCGAGGATGAGAGAGAGAAACGATCTTCCCGTGCTCTTAACATGCACAACTGCGGGTCATGATCTTTCATCCACGTGCCCCCATGAAGGCGCGGTGGCGGCAGTGAGACAGCCGACGTGGACAACCTTGAACGCGAGGACGAGGGAGAGTGCTGACGGTGACGGTTCGGCAAAACACTGAAGCGCAAGATTACGCTTACCTGCCCTCGGCCAGGCCCAAAGCCGGCGGGGAAACATGATTCCCCTAGATTCCCGCCTTCGGGCGACCTGGTCCAATGGCCTGCCACCGTTCCAGCGGGGAACGTGGGGTGGCTCCGTAAATCGTCGCTCCTGGTTCCGCGTCCACAATCGAACACCCCCCCCCGCCTCCCCCATGCGCTCGTTGACAAACAATTTTTTTGTTATCAACAACGTTTACGGTGCCCAAGGGAAAGAGGTAGAGGACGCGGCGTTTCAGACACGATGGTCCCTTCCCAAGGGAAAACCCCACACGTGCCCATCGATCTGGCAGGGAATTGCACAACTGCCCCTGTCAGAATGAACCTGAAACGTCTATCACGCCAGCGACCCTAAAGGCTGGCTATGCCAGCCACAATCTGCACCAGGGTACGCGGGCGGCGGGAGTGGAGCCAATTGGGAAGGGGGTCCTAGGTACGTGGGGACAGGTCGAGAGCGCCACACCACCTTTCTTTTGTTTTTTTTTTCATCCTTCTTTTGTCCTAGGGGTATCCGCTCCGTGGCGCTCGAACACATGACCTCGTTGAGTTCCATGGGTGCACCATTCAGCCATCCCTACCTTCGAGCCTCTTTTTGCCGAGGCGTAGTCAAACTGCGCCCCGACCGGGGGCTGCGGCGTTTTTGTTTTCCGTTGGCTGGCGCCTCCAGCCTTTGTGGTCCTGTATAGGTTACTTATTTTTCCTTCTTTTTTTTCTTTAGAAAAAAACAAATTGGACCCTTTCTCGATTTATGTCTCATCCTTGCGCAGGGGCCATGCTAATCTCCTCTGACAGCATTAGGGCCATTTCTTCTTTTTGTTTTCGCCAACCATTCAATTCATATTACACTTCAAACGAGGCCGGGGACCTCACAATTCCACCCGGAGTTATCCTGACAGCGTTGGGGCCTCGCCACACCACTTTCAAGAGTCCCAGTGCCGCCACACACCCTCTTGACAGTTTTTTGCCAAATTCACTTTCAAGAGGTGTCAGAAACTGGCTTCAAGAGTAGCTCTTGAAACACTGAAAAACCCGGCCTGCAATACATTGCAGCACTACCTGCAGCACGGCTGGCACCAAAAAGGCTTCACGAAGTCTGGAGGCCTGTAAAGCACCAATGCCACCGATGGATTTTATCGACCGCGGGCGCAGCCTCCTGACACTTCAGGTAGTAGGCTACTAGTTGAAATTCGGAGGCCTGCAGGTAGTGCTGGTTTAAACCACCAGTACCTACCGGTTGTCAAGGCCTGTGGCTCAGGCTACCGGTAGCCCGGTCATTCCCGAGCCTCGGACTTTATTGCCGAGCCTCAGACAACCAGTAGGACAAAAAAAAAAAAACATACAACATTCTACAAAAAAGAAAAAAAAAACAAAACGAAATCAGACCTTTCCAATGAGAATGAATCTTCCTCGATAAAGAGGAAGATTCATTCTCGTGAGAGAGAGAGAGAGGGCGTCAACCAGTGTCTGACGCCGAGTTTGCTGCACCAAACTCGACGTCAGACACTGGCTGACGCCCTCTCTCTCTTTGCACCAAACTTGGCGTCAGACACTAGCTGACACCCTCTGTGTGTGTGTGTGTGTGTGTGTGTGTGTGTGTGTGTGTGTGTGTGTGTGTGTGTGTGTGTGTGTGTGTGTGTGTGTA